ACCCCAGCGCCCCGGGCAGCCGGCACGGCCCGCTCACCGCCGGTGCGGCAGGCTCAGGGCCCCAAAATTCAATCCAAAATTAAACTTCATAGAGAAAATGATTCATCCGCTGACCTCCGCTCGGGTGGCAGCTCCTCAGCAGCTTCTCCTGCCCCGTGCTCTGTCCCGCGCGAGCCGTGGTCCTTGGGCCCTGCCCCGTGGAACGAGCTGAATAGTTGTAGTTTGGAGGCGATAGCGAGGAGATGGGCAGCAGCGGCTCCGGGCTCATGAAGGGCAAACGGTGACAAACCAAGCTGGTGTTCTTGAGAAAACAGACCCTGGGGTTAGGGGATTACCAGTTTTGGGAGCTACCTTGGCTTCAACGAGAGAAGTGATGCTCTTTCATAACCATGGCATGAAAAACTAAGCAAATACGGTCCAGAGAGGTCAGCATTCACCAGGCTGGTTGGGTAACCAGAAGCCACGAGCAGCACAGAAGACATCCTGACCTGCAGGATATCCCTGGCCTGGTGCTGCCCGGTATTCTCACACACCAGCAATGAAATTGAGAACACCTTTATTACATTGGCAGATGATGCAAATCACAGCATAACCTGGAGCAGTGGCATGGCCCGTTGCCATAATCACACGAGCTGATCCTGCAGCTGTCCTGCATTTGGTTTTGAGTACCTTCCTGAGAAAGGTCCTCAACGATAATCTGGAGAGTAGCAGGGTTGGTGAAAGGGTTGACATCAATGGCCTTTGACACAAGACTGAAGGAGCTGGAGCTGCTAATCTAAAGAAAAAGAAAAAATCCTGAGGTGAAGAATGAAATAAAGGAGGGAAAAAAATGTGTTAATTTGTAGGTGAATTAAAGAGGAGGACAGTGACCTGTTCTCCTCTCCTTTGTGGCTAGAAGTGATGGGTGTGAAGTGCAGTGGAGATTCCACACAGGTAGAGTGGCACATTTTACAACAGCAAAGACAGAGAAGCACAGCTCCAAGAGTTGTTATCACTGGTCAAGTTGAAAGCCCTTCTGAAAGCACTTATCAGACATTACTCAGTCATTCCCTCTGGGCAGGGACCAGGTAGGATGGTCTCCCTGGTCCTTTCTAGAGTTGCTTTCCTCCGTTTTCCATGACATGCTGCCTGCTTGGAGCCATGGTGCTTGAAATGGGGCCTCTGTGGCTCGAAAAAGGAGAAAGATCTCACTCGGATGATGTCACCCAAATTTCCTCCCACTTTTTCTATTTTGCCCTGACAAAATCTGGAGCCATCTGAAGGGGTGGCACATTAATGGCTGGTCCATCTCCGATACAGGGCGATTCCTTGTCTGATACCTGCCTTTAACTACACCACAAATTCCCAAATATTCCTGATTTCTTCCTCTCTCCTATTTTCTTTTTGATCAGATTTGGTCACCTTTTGAGGAGTACTGTTCAGCCTGTTTTTCCCACCTGATAACCGTTTGCTTCTTCCGTGCGGTTTGGACTCTGTCCACGTACACCCCTTTAGCCAGGTTAAACTGAGCAACAGCAGAATCCTGATGCCCCACTTATCCCTGGAGACAAGCCTGGCCTGGGAGCAAACCTTCCTCCTGGCCTGGCTACTGCTTCTCTCCAGTAGAGCACGTTAGACCGGTGTTTGCTGGACTGTGGTAATAACTGGGGATTCTTAACTACGGCCCTATTCCCTCACTGTTGGACCAAGGCTTTCTGGCTTCTACTTCATACAGCCCTGATGGCTGGAGTGGCTTCTGGGTCCAAAGATTAAAAAAATATATATTTTTTTTGAGTGATAAGGAATACAATGCATTTTTTTGATTTGGAGAGTAATTTAGAGAGAAGGAAAGATGATGCCTGGTGGAAATGAGAAATATATGTCCCATACATAATATATGCCCCAAATGCCCTATTACAAATACAACAAGATTTCCTGAACTGGAGAAGTTGTTACACATTACAGTGTGCTAATGCTCCCCCACGGAGATGCTGATACTGAGAGAGTCTTTAGTGTAATAATATTAAAAATCCTAGAGTTTCAATAAGATCCTCCCTGCTACCACAGCGGTAGGAAATGAATTGATTCCAAAGGAAGACTCTAATTGCTGCTTAGTATCCACCAAATATTCTGAGATACGCTGCAAAGATATATCCCAACGTGTCTGTGGCATGATCGGCAATTACATGTTTCCAAAGGGACAGTCACTTCCCAGCACGGCTGAGCCACAGAGGAGCCACCCGGCGCCAGCATCGCCTGCACAGGGAGCAGGCACTGCTGCTGTGCCTGGGGGGCTGCACAGACCAGGGGGGCTCGAGCGCTTCTCCCTACAGAGACCCTTAAACCCTGGCAGGGTCCAGGGAAAGGCACGATCGTTCTCTCCCAGAGCACAACCACGGGCTCCGGATCAGCAGAGACTCGTGCACTCGGTCCCGGGTACATGAATAACTAGACTGGAGTGGGTTAACCTACCAGTGTAAAGTTACTCAAAAGCATAACTATTTGCAAGTCTAATGTTTTCCTCTGAATATTTTACATAAATATTTTTCAAAATGCATTTATTTACTTCTGTTTATTCCAAGCATGTCTCTTCTCACGAGTTCCGCGGTCACGTACACGCTGTCCGGTCCGTACCGGTGTCCTGTTCTCAGGAGGCTGAG